GATAGTGGCTGCGTCAAGGCAAACAGCACAGCACGAGCGCATCTACCACGTGGTCGTGCCTTCAAAACAAAAGTGCGGAGCTTTGGGAATTCAATCATTACTGTACGTTAATAAAATTAACTAAAATTCTGATTTAGCAAATACAATTGTTTTCTAACGTTCTCTTCCACTACAATCACAACTCCTGAAAAAGCTCGATAAAACAACATTTATAAAACACGATGCTTTTATTTTGAAAGCCCCCCGACGAAACGCCAGCTTGTTTATTTTGCGGTACTTGACTCTGGTCGGAGCAAACGCTTCACTTGTGTTGCTTTGAGCGTGGCTAGCAAACAAGCTAACGTCAGGTTAACAGCGTTAGCTCGTTAGCTAGCTTAGGTACAATGAGCGTGAAGACAGCTGCAACAAAACGGAGCTGACACAAACAGGGAACAGGTCAGCTAACATTAACGAGCTATAGCAAGCAGGGTGACTCACCCAGGAGATATGACTTCTCCAAGTTGACTGCATAACTCCTTCACTATTCCAGCACGGTCCGATTTCACCTTCTTCTCTGGCAGCCTGGCACCATCAGTCCCCTTCTCCTGAGGTATGGGTGCACACAGTGCTAGCACGGAGTCCACGTTAACAAGAGAGCCGGCTTTGACTTTCCACTCTATAAGCCGGACAGGGAGAGCCCCAGCTGGCCAGCAGATATCCGCCACCTGCACCATGGGGCCCTCTGCAGCTGCACCATCGCCGCCACCACCAAAATCTGCAGGAGGATCCTCCATCTGCCCCGCACTCTCCAAAAACAAAATCTCCTTACTTTTGAAAAGCTGACAACTTAAAAGGTATCCACTCGACTTCGCAAACCCCCGTGTATCATTAAAACGTGCGAACCGTCAACATCGAGGAGAATTAAAACAAATGTGCTGCAGATTTAAACACAGCAGCTCCACAGTCCCAGCTACGTTCGCTCTTCCCGCCCGTAAACAGGAAAGCGCAACACTGCAGCGACACGGGTCGCTACAGTATCCGGTATACAGCAAGCCACTCGCGAAAAACACCAGAGAACTTCTATCGTCTCCGAGAACGCCCACTCTTTGGATCTCTATTTTCTTAGAGGGCGCTCGCGAGGTAGTCCAGAATGAATACATCCCTGTGCACGTGAAGCCCCCAAATGTAAATTCCGTCGAGGATTTTATGCTGGGGACTTTATCGTGTGTTTTATAGGTGAATGTGAGGCAAAATATTTTTACGGGGTTCGATTGTAGTTAAAATGCGTTTTTTGTGACAGCGCAATAATAAGACACTTTACGGCATCTGCCATTTTGATTTGGGGCATAAAGCTAGTGAATCCTAAATTGACCAATCAACTTGCAGGTTTGGTTTTAGGAAAATCCGATTCTCTTTTTTTAAGATAAAGGAAATGATGTAACTGTTGTTATATTTTAGGTCGTAAAAATTATACGTATGCAGAAAATAATGACAATAGTAATTTGTGGGTTTTTGTCTAGAAGCAGGTTTTACCCGTTTAGGTCCTTTTCACTTGTGATCATCGAGGACGAGCTCGCCGGCGCCCTCTGCAGTGCCGCTGGCTAATCTACAGTCAGTTTGTGTACAGTGGGATTATTAGGAAATGAAACTACTTCCCTAGATTATCTCTGAACGCAGTTTCTACTTAGGTTTCAAAATAAAACGACTCGTGCCTCTTTGTGACGCTTTTCACAATGTTGCCGTAAACTTTTAAAGTCACCAATGTGGTTATTCTAAGTGCTCCTTATTATAGATATCACCTATATAGCGCTTACATATTGTGTTAAAATCCGTGCAACCGTGAAAGATCATTATTTATGTTTTCCCTTTTTCTTTAAAGCTGCTGAACCCGCACAGACATGGTGTTACCTGACGCAACGTGATGTAACATATAAGTAACACTACACAAGTGTCTCATGGGGTTTTTTTGCAATAAGAGCACGATATTTACAAATACAGTAATGTTTTAAGGTGTAAGTGAAGGAGGTTGTTATAAGTCTAAGAAAGCCTTAGGTTTGATTGTATAGGTTATACCGGCCCTCGAGGTATGTTAATATTTAACTTTCCAGGCTGAAGATGGGACTGAAGGAAGTCAGCAGGGGATATAGATGATGACCTTACAGGACAAGGACGTACCTCGCACTGTTCTAGCTACTCAATGACGAAGAACTTAAGCACCTCCTTCCAGAGTGTTCCTTACAACTAACCGAGATGTTTCACTGCCCGATTTCTGTTTCACGCAGGTGTGAAAACGCCTTTCTTCTTATAGTTCACAATAAAAGCCATAGAAATAGTCTTGAAATACCAGCGATAAAACATAGCTTACACAAGTAGCTTCCGTTAACGTTTGGTTTTTAAAAATAATTTTATACTATGTTCTACAAATTATGAAATAGACATCATTTTCTTATTAAATGTATAAACGTTGTTGTGGGGTTAATGAAATACAATCTTTATTTTCATTGAGGCAAAATTAGTAATTTAAAGGAACTCATGAAATTCCTGAAATTATATTTTAAATAAAATTATGTATATTGCACACCACAGGGCTTCTGTTACCTAACCTAGGTCACTGTCAGTAGGTGGATGCAGTAGGTCGTTGGATGGACTTAGCACTAGTGTGGTTAAAGTTCTACAATCTATTTCCATCAATAAATAGACCTATTTGCTAAAGACAGGTTCTAGTTATTAACACAACGTGTGATGTTAAATTAAGTTTTCCTTTGCACATTCCTTAATTTTAGAAACACACACACACACACACACACACACACACACACACACACACAGTGGAGGGAAGTATCTGCATTACACAGGAAGTTTCCCGATGATCCACATATTACATCCACCATGACTCGTCTCCCATATCATTGGCACTGTATCAGTGCAAAAGAGACAACGATAGTGCAAAGGTGGCCCAGGTGGTGGGAGCCAATCATAATTCAGATACACACATGTCCAGTGTTGGTAGGAACCAACATTTCTGTGAGGTAGGGGGACCTTTGTGTGTCTTCAGGCAGGAGGTACGGGTGTGGTTTTAAGACGGATCTAATGAGTTAGATTTTTTTTTCTAAAAGAATCACATCAGATAAGAAAAATGTGACTATTTTCAGTTATCTCAATAATAAATAAGTAAGAAATCTTTTCACTTGTAGTTTTTATTTGCACGGCCGAACGAGCTGTCAAAAAATAAACGGAAACTACAGTATGTGGGAGGGTACCATCTCGCATTGCGTTACCCTTTGGTTAAACGTAAAGGGAACCAGTGTGCTGTTAGCAGTTTATGAAGGGGAAAGGTAAAGCGTTTACTGGTGGCTGCTGACACGGAATATTAATACGTCTCTTGGAGCGGGTCTGTTTTAATAACTCGGAAACATGATAGCGGAGAACTGTAAAGTGGTAAATAAATCGTATTTACTACACATTATTAACCCAATTCTCTCCAATTAGCAAGTTCATTGCTAGCCAGCTGTAATTGTTCCCGGTGTGTTGGCGTTTGTATATATTATCTGAAGTTTAAACTAAATGCCAAGGCCGTGTTTCAAAACCATACTGCTACCTAGAGTGTTTTAAAGCTGGTTTTGACATGAGGTAAGAACACATTCAGCACTCTGTTTCCAGCCATGATGTGAGTACGAGAATGAGACTGCATGAGTGGATCGTGCGCGCTGGAACACTTGGGAGGATGGGGGTTGCTCAGGTCCCTGACCCCGCTGCCATGTGTGAATTCATTTATCAGCACTGGAAACATTTTGTCCCTCAAAAGCAAACTGCCAAGAACAACAAAGTCACAGTATAGCGGCTCACGTTCGCCTTGAACCAGACGTTCTCGCTTCCCGTCCCTCGCGCGCACGTTTTCTTGTTGTTCCTCAGAACACAGTGTCTGTCCTCTGGGCCCACACTTTACTTCGTGCCCTAAACCTCTTTACCTAACTCGGGGGGGTTGGTTAATGTTCACTTAACGTGTGCAAACACAGAGTTCAGATGTGTCAGATGGAAGTGGCGCTGTAGTTCACTCATACACTGCTTTGTTTTTCTTCAGTTGACGTTATGTCTGCATCAACTGGCTCTCCTCCGAAGAGCTCCGCTTCCTGGATCTTCATCCCTCCCAGCAAGGCGATCTTTCAGTTCACTCAGGTAGCAGACAGCTGAGGACTGTAGATGAGCTTCAGGCTATGCTCAAGTCTGCATGCAATGAGACTGTATGTGTGTGTTTTAAATCTTGCAGGGATGCTAAGCGCAGAGGCTTGTTATGGAAGACGCTCGTTGGCCTCTCTGTTGGCGTTCCTGTGGCGGTGAGCATCAAGTATGCCGTATCGGAGCCCAGACAGAGGAGACAGATGAGGATTGTGATTGAAGGGTTTGGCCGCTTCTGCAGGTTTGTATGAATGTCATCAGCATCATGAGATTCTAACACGTGTTCAGTCTGAGGCTGTGAAATGGTCTCTAAATGGTGACTTCTTATCTATTAAACTTGCATATTAGATTTGTATATCTAATAGTGTTCTCTAAGTATTGTCAGGAACATTAGCTAAAGTAGGTCATTTTTTTCATGAATGGATAAAAGCAAAAGAAACAAAAATATCCTGACAACATTTCCTTTTATGGAAATCGATAATTTTATCCCTCTTATAAGGTTGTAAATTCCATCTCATTACTTTTAGTTTTTGGGTTACACCACAAGACTGAGAGCAGGGTGGAGACGGGCAGGAGCAGATGTGTGGCCAAAGTCAATGTATTCATTGGCTTCTGTTTTGCCTCATTTATTATTCCACCAAGAGGTTACGTTTTTTTGTTTTTTTGTTTTTTTTTGTTACGGTTACGTTTTTACTGTCCGTGTCATTCATTCTGTCTGTAAACATAACAGCCCAAAAAGTTAAGACTGAACTCTGATGAAACTTTGGGGGTGTAGAGTGGGGTCATGTTAGCTTTGCATCCACTAAGCTATTCAAGGTCAGCTTCATTGGTCAAAACCTGACAAAAAGCCTGATGGAAACTTAGAAACTGTTAGTGTGGTGTGTTTTATCAAGATGTATAAAATCTACTTTATAAAGACTGAAAGTATCAAAGTTGTTATATTGATGTGAAGCTCAAAGGCCCCATAGAGCTGTTTGAAACGGTGTTTCTTACTGCCATTGTTTGTATTGACAAACATATCGGCATATAGGAAATGATTTATTGGCATTCTAAGTACCTCTTAACTTTGGACATCTGACCTCTTCTTAAAGGTCAAATGAGGTATAAATATTATAAAAATCTGTTATCCTTTAAACTTTGCTTAAACTTCAGTTGCTTTTGTTTGTATTGGCAACATTTAGGAAGTGATATGGGTATTTGACGATTCTAACTATCACTTTGCATTTAAATATTGACCTTTGACCTCACTTTTGCATTTCACATCTGCCTTTTTTCAAGTTGACCCCAGAATGTGTTTCATCCTTAAATAAGGCATTGTCAAGAGAAAGAGAGCTACCTAACTCAAGGGACGAACTAGTGTTGTCTATGCATAACAGACAACTTTATGTTACTGGCAGCCTGTTGCCGTGTAGTGTGTCCTTAAAGATTTGAGGAAACTGAATGCTGTGAGAAGGTCATGTCCTTAAAGAAGACCTGAGACAGCATCTGTGAGCTACATCGGGCCCTTCAGTTGGTGCATCTGTTCTCTGAAGCCTCCTCAGAAGTGGTCTCAGTGGAAGGATGGCCAAATTACACAAGAACTCAACTGAAAATGCATCAAGTTTGATGAATCTAGTCCTCACTGGACTGTGGGAGGATCTTGGGAGAGAGACTACAACAGTATGACTGTAAAACATGGTGGAAGCTCTGTCATGTTTTGGGGCTGCATTTCAGCTAGTGGGGTTGGGGATCTTTTTAAAAGTTATGGATTGTACATGTAGAAAAGTGCCATCTGATTTTGGAAACCACTGTGGGAAGAGTCAAATTGTTTATGGCCTCATTTTTCAGCACAATGATCCCAAACACAGTGCCATAAAATACCTGGACAGTGTTCTGTTGTGTGTTTATTCCATCAGTCATGGAGCCTAGACCTCAGCTTTCTTAAAGCATTAAAGCAATGTGGGAACATCCTGATACAGAACAGTAGCCAACATTCAAAGAAGAGCTTTGACTGTCCTTCAAGAAACCTGCAGAACTAGTCCCAAAGACTACTTGAAGAAACTGCAAGAAAGTTGACGT